TTGTGCTCTTTCATTCGGTCTGGCATTGGTTCCATATATTTTGTGTTGCATAGTCAGAGCCTTTGCTCAGCATATTCATGACCTGGGACTGTGGTTTCAACATTATGTGGATGACTGGCTCTTTTTGGCACATTTCCAGTAAGCCTCTTGTAACCGTACCCATCTCCTCCTTTAGGAGGCAGCTCATTTGGGGTGGCTTGTCACACCTCACCATCACTCAGTATCTTATTCACCTGTTTTTCAACTCTTACCTCAGCAGGGCCCAGTCTTCTCTGTGTTTGAGGGATATGGAATGCCTGGTATTCACAGCCAGGACTTCTCTCTCTGCACATGAGGTTCTCTCTCTTGGGATCATGAACACGTGTTGTCTTCAATGAGTGTTGCACGATCAAAGGAACCTTGTTTGGGATTCCTTGGACTCTTCCGTTTTTATGGTTTGTCTGAGCAATAATGATTTTATAGAGTAATTTACATTTAATTTCATACTTTTTTGAGGGATGGTGGATAAAATAGGAATGATGACATGCTAAGAGAAAATGTGTCACATGGGTCACACTAGTGGAAATTCAGAATTTTTTTTTAATATTGCTTTGTAGAATTAAGAACTTAAAACTTGTATACTATTAAAATAGTAGTATTATCTAAGATTTTATACTATTATAATTGGTATAACATAAACAAAAAGTAGTTTAATAAAATTTTGAATGTAAGACACTAAAACCTTGTCATGCACAGTAAAGGATACTCGTGTTGATAGCGTTAAATGTAAAGATAAATGACCTGTACAGTTCAGTAAAGTAAGCCTAGTTACGTTGCATAAATCATACAAGACTGTGTAGACTACTTTAACTATCACTAAATAATACTGTATTTCATATTAAAGATGACTAGACAATGATGGAACATAGTTGCTGCCAGCTTTCAGAACAGTGGTTGCATTTAAGTTGTGGATATGTCCTTTTTTTTTAATATTATACTTCTGGAAAATTGCCAATCAGAATTTTTGTAATCAATATGGTATTTAAATAATTGAACAGTAATTTTGTTGTAACCTTTTAATTTGTTGCCTCTATCAAGGTCATAAACTAAAGATATTTTGTTTTATAAATAGAAAGCAACAAAATGAAACTTTCCATGCTATGAAATATCTAACAGATTGTCCATAATAAGGTAGAAATATCATATATCAAGTATGCTAATTTAAAATGGGATTTACTCGTTGTCCCGACTAGCCTAATGAGCCGTGGTATATACATTGAGTCTTGTTGGAAGGGTACATATCAGATATAGTATAGTACACATTTTTATACAGTCTTTTTTTTTACTTTCACTCCTAAGTTCTTAGATTATATAAATATTTTCTGTGATACAGAAATATGAAATGTGAGGCTTCTTATATATTTTTTGAAATTAAAAAGTTAAAATTTAAATAACACAAAAATTCTAATTATGAACTACTTTTTCATATCAAGTTTATTGCCATATGTTGAGGAAATAGTTGTGTGATTTACATTTTTAATGTATCATTGTAAAAGGTCGTTATATACTTACTTTGACACAGTTGTATGGAAAGAGATAAATGGAAAAAAATTAAATTATAATTAATGCTTGTTGAGTCAGTAAGTCACAGTAACTGTCTTTGTGGGGAAATAATATTTCAAGAATTTCTCTAATTAACTTTAGAATTGAATTACTCATATTATTGGACAGATTTGTTTTGTTAGGAACTCATTTCTTTAACCAAATGGTTTTATGTATTATTTACATTCAGCTGATTGTTGTGCTATTTATACATCTGATATGAAATCACTTCCAGTATTTCTTATATTCTTTAGTTACTAAAACAAGTTTTCCAAGTTCATAAACTCAGAAATTTTCACATATACAGTGGACAATTTTAAGGATTTTTTTTTTGGTTTGTCCAGATGATAACTTGGGGATTGTTCTCCAAAGAATTGGGTTGACCTGACTTTTCATTGGTCTTTTTCCCCTGTTTTTTTTAAATTTTTTATGAAATGCCACACAATAACAAATTTTTCTAGACTAGAACTAACTCCAAAGGTCTCCATCAATTTGACCTATCTTATCACAACAACAAAGTACAAAATAAATCTAAATTACTTTTTTTCTTTTTAGAATGACTGCACATTGTTACAGACAATCACACTATTAATTTTTACACCCCAAGCTAAAACAATTAGATACTCTCAGTCATTTAGATTTGTTGTTTTACTGCCTCAGACTAGTATCAAATTTAGCATAACTGGGTGAACTTCCTGTAATCACGGCATCAAGTTACAAGCACACGTGATCAAATTATGACAGTGTTTAACTCCTAACAGATGCTTCTGGTTGATTGTGTTATGGATTGTATTCATTTGATTTTTCATATCTAACATAATAAGTTTGTAATCTCACATTTTAATCACTCTTATACAAGAAATGAAAAATATACATTCAGAAATGTAGTACTCTGATATGGCTCCTGTTGTCAAAGTTTTGACCAAAGTTAACCTTATGTTCGGAGGGATTTTAATTAGCACAATACTGAATTATTTATTTCAATATAGTTATTGCAGTTTTAGTGGCTTTTTAACTAAGCTGTAAATTACAATAACTTCTTTTCCTGGTCAATATGATATCGTTAACAGCCAGTAGGAAATTGGCATAAAAGTAGCTCCTATAACATTGATAGGACATTTAACCTTACAATTAATTCAGAAATTTTCAAATCTCCCATTTTTATTGGTGATAAATAATCAAGGTGCAAGCATTGGAGAGATTTACTGACACATGGTGGGAAAGCCCTACATTAAGTGTTTTTTTTTTTACGTTTTCCAGTAGACTATTCAGGCTGATATTTGCAGTTGCCCAATAAGATGTTAGTTCTCCATTGACAACTGTTAAAAAATGACACCTGATACATACATAAATATCTGTATGTCAGTGTGTGTACTTTTAACAGTAGGATTTTAGTCAAAAAATTTAGCTAAGTTATTTTCCTTCTAGCTCTCACTTATTTTGGAGCAGTCCCCTATGGTGTTAATTGTACTTTTTTGTGAGAAATTTTGTTCTAAAGTAGAATATAGTATGTAAAAGTAGGTCAGATTTTACTTTGAAAATTTAACTACCCTCATTTTTCTATTAAGTAGCTATCAGTACATGGATAGAATATATGCAGTGAAAGGGGTGACATTTTATGATATTGTATATAATACTATGCTCTCTTAGGCTGGAACATGATCTCAACAAAATCAACTGTCTTCAATTCAGTGCTCGCTACTGAATGTTTTTGTGAATAAAGACTTTCAATTTGTTCACATTGTGTCAAGTCTTTTTCTTACTCTTCAAATAACATCAAAGTGCCAAATTTCTCATGTTATGTTTATCACACACATGACCTAGAGCTGTATATTTTTTAGTGTAGGGGCATGAAGATCCTAGATCTTACATGATTCGCCAACAGAAAAGACAGATGTCTATTTCAAAATATGACCGTGAAATGGCAGCTATTTTCCCAGTAAGAGAACATGCCTAATTGCTAATTGTTAGAAGATTCAAGTCTTGTGTGCACTAGAGTAATGAAAGTTCATCTGTTTATCTGTGCATCCAAACTGAACTGAAAGAAAGCAGATTTATGTACTTGCTAAGTGGGTTACTTAACATATGGATTTGTTCTATTCCACACTCCAAACTCAATTAGAAATCGGGTTTATTTTGTAAAATCTTTCATGATTGAACATCTATTTATTTATTGATACTATCTGAAATGTAAGTCAGTGTACTTGAGAATGAATAATATATATATATATATATATATACTAACCCTATTCTATTAAAGATGTCTTTATATTTACTACAGACGTACCTTCCAGTACAATAGTAACGTTTTTAGACAAAAAACTATAGTTTATTTTTTTTTATTT